TTGTTCGTATCACGAATAAGCATCCACCATCATCTAGCCTCTTCTTGTAACGTAAAGGTAGCCAGTAACACTTTATGTGCCTCTGAACAAGGAAATACTTCAAACAGTTTCTCGGTTTCTAGGACCCATTCTTCAGCCTTCAATGGCTCAAGACCACCCAGGAATGTTGGTGGTTTCATTTTGTTAAACTTTTGCGTCAAGGCAATCACATTATCATTGACATTTGGTTCTGGCTGCATTGGAGGAGATGGGGGGCTGTTGATTCTGTTGTTGTCTTAATGACTCGGTCAGTAATTCAACCATCCTTTCTAATCTGGCAATCCTTGTATCGGATGATTCAGGTTCATTGACATTTCTTGCGTTCTCCATTGCACTATATACAATATAGTAATAATAAACATAGGAAAAACAACTTACTTATGCACATTAGCATATATAAACATATCACGACCACACACACTTTCTTATGCTTATGCAACGCCCTAATTCTTTTCTAGGACATCCTATAGCTCATTAGGACCTGAGTGTGTAGTATAACTCGTGCTTTGATACCACTCTGTCACGACCCAAACCCGCCCCTAAGGGTTTAGCATCGTAACTGACCAGTAATCCGTGATTACCAAAGGCCTGCTTAACAGTAATGACAATAATACAATATAAAGGGGCTGGCGGAAGCCAATTAGTAATAAAACGACGTCCAATGAGCTGTGAAAACCTGAATGGAAAAATACTTTCATGGACAAAACCATATTCATAACCATATACCAAAAATACATGTACAAGGTAGCATACAAGTTAGGGACCTAATCCCCTCATCAAAACCGTACAATCAAAGTCTTAAACATTCTTTACATTGATGGAGACAAAAAGGGTGAATCTGGAACACCCCAAAATAGCCTTGACTCGTGTAGGTTCAGAACCTTGATATGAGGCACAATGGCTGGCTTGACAAAATGGAAGCTTAAGTAGGCGCCCTTAGCTCTGGTTCGGTGCTTGGCCACCTACATATATATATATATACAAACTGTGAGCTAAAGCCTAGGGAATAACAAATATGTAAAGGGGTTAAGAATGGATCTCCTTTCGATAATTGAAACAGTCTTTTGCATCAGTAAATCAATTATTCAATCAGTGACTCATATTTCAAGTCATAACATTCAGTTGGAAACAATAGCAGTCATACGTGGTACATCCAATAGCAGAACAGTACAGTAGGCCTAAATAGACCGAATAGTCAGTTGATAGCCATCAAAACAGTAAATAGTAGTAGTTCCAAATATTGAAACTAATAGAGATCTTTGTAACAATAGCAGTAACAGTAATAGTAACAATAACAGTAACAGTAATAGTAACAGTAACAGTAACAGTTAGTTGCTATAGATGCCACGAGTACAGTTCATAAAATAGGACAAACATTCATTCGGTAAACAATATCATTTCAAAAAATAGTGCAGTCATTCGTTTAGAAAATAATTATAATTGAACATAGCTTTACAACATTGTTACTCACAGATTACTGGGCTATGGGCAGGCTAATCAGCATCCTTGGGTGCCAAACCTACACAGTTGTAGAATGAACACACACTAAATTACACACCCGAAATTAATAACTTAGCCCCTTGCTTGTTTTATTGTGGTTCTAAATCATTATCCTCATTATGATGCCTTAAACATGGCCTAGGAATGTCTAGGATAGAATGAGGATGCAAAGATATACTTAAAAATAGTTTCCAAAACTTGCTGAAAATAGGGGTCTCGCTTGAGCGTGGCTTCCTTTGTTCGAGTGGACATGCAGAATGTGCTTGGTCGCTCGAGCGTAGACTCCTTCGCTCGAGTGATTTGTAAAAATGTGAAAAGTACTAGTTGCTAAAAAATTTCGCTCAATGCTTGCTCGAGCGTGAGACACAGTTCTTCGCTCGAGCGCAAGTCTTGTCACTCGAGCGTGCTTCTGCACACGCAAAATCCTGAGAGCTTGCAATTTACGCTCGAGTCAGCATTCCGTCGGTCGAGCGAAAGTCTGAAAACAAAGGTGGTCGCTCGAGCGAGGAAGCCGAATTCTGGGTTTCCCAGATTTGCTCCCAAAGCTCAAAGCATGGATTTAATGTGCCAAAACTCATCCTTTTGGGCCAATCCCCTGGAAAATACTCAGAAACTCATAACACAACATGTTTTGAAGGTCATTTCATAAAATTAAAGCCCAAAAGTGTGTCAATTGTAATAACCCAACCCTCGTACATGATTCTGGTATATTTTCAGTTCCTTAGTCTGTACTTTTAAATGCTCATTATGGAATTGTATGGGGAATTAAGGTTAATTAAGTGAATCCTAAGATTATGGATACATATCTGTTCCATAAGAAAAGTGTCTGTCACAATTAGAATGTTTGAATCAGAAATTGAGGGTCCTAGAGGCTTGATAATCCGAAATTGATCTTACATTTAAAATTAACATAATTTTTAGGTAATACTAAGCATTGTTATAAAAATATGATTTGGAATGATTAAATTAATTAGTTTTTGTCCTATTCACCATATATATATATATATATATATATCTTTGGCTTAGGGCCCTTAATCAAAATATCTCCTAAGTGTAAATTGGAGGAGAAGGTTAAAGAGGGTTGAGAGGGGGTTCAAGAAGAAGATTGGGAAGTTAGTGAGGATTGTAGAATTTGAGCTCAAGGTATGCGATTCTTGCTTTTGTTAAGCTCTCATGATAAGTGAGTAAGAAATTCTCTCCAATTCTTAAGTGGAAGTTACAATTAAAGAATCAAGGGTGTGTGTGTGATCTTGTTTAGTTATATTGGTAAATGAGTTGGTAATCTCACCTTTCCTCTCTTGATTTTACTTATTGTATGGTGTTTATTTACATACCTAAATGATTATCAAATATGGTTGTTTATATCTAGTTGGACCAAACATAATTGAAACCATGAAGGGATTAAGTTATGTTGGGAACTTTAAGAATTAGAAATCTAAATCCTAGTTGGGGTGTATGTGTGTTGGAGGATCCCATTAACATGTTTCTAAACCATGTTTTAGCAATTAAGGAAGCTATGTTGAGCCTTTTAAATATTCACCAAAAGGTGGGATTTTGAATGAATTTTCGGACTGTTTTGAGCAGAATCGCCGCACGTGCGGGGGTCATGGTTGCACGTGCGAGAACCCCAGCCGCACGTACGGGAGTCATGGCCGCACGTGCGGAGAATGAGGAATTTTGGCATTTTGGCTACTGTCTAAAAAGCACGTGCGGGGCATCACTGCCGCACGTGCGGGGCTTACAGTCGCACGTGCGGCCGATGCTAAAAATAACGAGTTGCTCCGTTTTACGTGCTGGACCCTATAATATTGTTGAAATATGTATTTAAGACCTTTATGATATCTGTAAATTTAATTGAAGCGAAACAAATTCGAAATGATTTAACGAAGGAAAAGAGTTAATCTAAAAGTTGTTCATGTGTGTAGGTCATAATCCGGGTGAGACAAGCGCGCCGCTACTGCACTGTGAGTAGTAGTACTGTTATTGTACGCTTTCCTACAGCTAATGATTACTATTAGCATTCTATTAACGCATGTCAATTATGTAACTTATATGAATGTTTGAAAGGATGTGAATGAATAATGTAAAAGAATGGAAATGTTTCCATATGACTCCGGAATTCTGTAAGACTCTGACATCTGGGCCTATGGCCAATCTGAACTTTCTGATATAAAACAAAGTGCTGTACGGAACTAAGTGCTACAATGTGAGTCACCTCTAGAATCCGTGCGAGACACCTCTTGAGTTCATGCATGCATGAAAAGGGTTTAATGCCATCCTGTCTAAGGGCTTAATGCCATTCTGCTTAAGGGCTTAATGCCATTCTGTTCAAGGGCTGAGTGCCAATCTGTTTAAGGGCTTAATGCCACTCCATTCAAGGGCTTCAAAACATTATGTTTAAAAGCCAGGCCTAAGGCCGTTCTGAAAATTAGTACAGAATCATATTAACCACATGACCTCTGCATTTATACACGCATTGATATGCATTATATTTAAGTTGAGCATCAATTTGTTTAAGTACTATTATTCACTGAGCCTGGCTCACTCTGTGTTATGTCTATTTTTTTAGGTAACCGACCGGGAGGTCAGTCCTAACCCATGACAACCGTTCTCTTTTGTCAACCTCTGAGTGTCTAAGCACTAGACAAAGCTACTTATGTTTTGTGAAGTTTTTCTATGATGTTGGCTCGTACTATAATTTCCTACTTAAGGATGAATGTATATAACTTTCTCAACCTGCGATGTTTTGGTTATACTTCCAATCATAGGGCTGGGTCTGTATATGTGTATGTATATAACCGATGCTCAGATGTATGTTTCTGTATATTAATTTCCTGTTAAGTTGTTTGTGATCCTGGCATAGTAGTGATTGCTCAATGGAGGTTGTTTTCTGTTATTTTATAATATTTAATGCTTCCGTTTAGGCCCCGTATGTTATGTATATAAGGTTAAATGTTCGTTTCTTAATAGGTCATGCCTAAACTTTTAGGGGTGAGTGTGCGGCGTGACAATGGCATCAGAGCACAAGTTGCCATCTCACACACGAATCCATTGAGCCTTAGGATGTCTAGAAAAGACTTAGGCATCATGCATTGCATTCTGAACGCACATGAAAGACCGATGGCAATGTTAAATGCATTTTGCTAACGCTAACGATTACGATTCATGTTTATGGTATATTCTTGTATGTATTGTAATTGAATGTCTTGTAGAATATGGTGAGAACAAGAGTAGAAGACCCCGAAGATGCCACTTCTGCATGGTTGGATAGGATGGAGAGGATGATTATGGAAATGGCGGAAACCCTACGACAACAACAGTAATAACAACAACCGCAACAGCCACCACCGTCGGTACCTCCACCCATAGTATAAGATTTTCATGCTGAAGACCGAACTATTACTCTTACCAAGGAGTTTAAAAAGATGAAACCGCCATCATTCAAAGGAGGAATAGAACCAATGAAAGCTGAAGCATGGGTGTTGGGAATAGAGAAGTTATTCAAAGTTTTTCCTTGCACGGAAGCTCAAAAAGTACAACTGGCTGCCTTCACCCTTGAGGACGAGGCACGGAGATGGTTGATGCTTACAAGGACCATACACCTAGGATTAACATGGGATAGATTCCTAGAACTGTTTTATGACAAGTATTTCCCCAAAAGTATGCAAGATAAGAAGGTGACAGAATTCGAAACTCTCAGACAAGGGAATAAAACTGTTGCCGAATATGAAGCTCAATTTGCAGAACTGGCCCGGTTTGCACCTCATATGGTGGATACAGATTACAAGAAGGCGTGTAAGTTCGAAGGGGGATTACGGAGCGCTATACTGGACAAGGTCAACATGTTGAAGTTACCCACTTATGTCGATGTGTTAGAGAGGGCTGTTATAGCAGAAGGAAACCTCACTACTCAGAACCGAATTTTTGAATGGAAAGGGAAGAGGCAGAATACTCAATGGTCAAAGGGGACAACTACTCCACCAAACAAGAAACAAAATTAAGGGACTTCAAATACTTCCACTTCTAGTCAGGATTCAATTCCTGTTTGTCTGGAATGTGGAAAGAAGAATCGAGGAACGTGCTACCGGAAGTTTGGAGCCTGTTTTCAATGTGGCAAAACAGGTCATTTGATAAGGGATTGCCCTCAAAGGAATCAACAAAATGCCAATAGGGCTGCTACCAGTTCAGCGGGGTCTACACCAACTTCCAACACCAAGACAGTTGCTAAACCTACTAACAAGAAAGACACTGCAAGGCAAGGCAGGGTGTTCGCATTAGTTCCGGGAGATGTGTAAAGTGCGGCCACAGTGGTGTTAGGTACATTTGTTGTTCACGGTCATTCTGTTCATGTATTGTTTGATTCTGGCTCCACCCACTCTTTTGTGTCAAAACTATTTGCTCCTAATTTAGATAAAACTGAAGAAAAGCTGTCTTTTAGATAAAATTGAAGAAAAACTGTCTTATATGTTGTGTGTTCTTCACCTTTGGGAGACTCTATGATTTGTGCTTCTGTATGCTTAGCTTGTGAACTCTAACTTGGAGATATTCGAGTGTATGCTAATCTGTTACCTCTCGACATGACTTATTTCGATGTTATTCTGGGAATGGATTGGTTGAGTGATTATGGTGCAACTATAAACTGCTTGACTAAGAAAATCAGTTTCCACCCTCTAGGACAAGCAGAGTCTATTTTTCAGGGACAGGAAGTGACTTCTCCACCTTATTTGATTTTTACAGCAAAGGCTTGTAAATTAATTCAGAAGGGGTGTCAGGGGTATTTATGCAGTGTTTTCGAGCGGCAAGTAATGAATGGGGTTATTGACATGATTCCCGTTGTTTGTGAATTTCTGGATGTTTTTCCAAAAGAATTACCAGGGCAGTTGATAGACCGTGAAATTGAGTTTACCATTGAAGTGGCGCCGGGAACTCAACCTATTTCTAAGACTCCGTATAGGATGTCACCAGTTGAAATGAAAGAATTAAAGATTCAGTTGCAGGATTTGCTTAATAAGGGATTTATTTGTCCGAGTGTGTCTCCTTGGGGTGCACCAGTTCTGTTTGTGAAAAAGAAGGATGAAACACTTCGACTTTGTATTGATTACAGGGAACTCAATAAAGTAACGATCAAGAATATGTATCCATTGCCACGAATCGATGATTTATTTGATCAGCTTCAAGGAGCACAAGTTTTCTCAAAAATTGATCTACGGTTTGGATACCATCAATTGAAGGCCAAAGCTGATGATGTTGAGAAGACAGCTTTTCGAACCCGGTTCGGTCATTATGAATTTTTGGTTATGCCCTTTAGAGTTACTAACACACCAGCAGCATTTATGGATTTGATGAACCGGATTTTCAAGACCTATTTGGATGAGTTCGTGGTAGTATTTATTGATGACATCCTCATTTACTCGAAGAATGCTGAAGCCTATGAGGACCATCTTCGCCTAATCCTACAAACACTTCGAGAAAAGGAGTTGTACGCTAAACTGAAGAAATGTGAATTTTGGCTACAAGAGGTGGCATTTTTGGGGCATGTAATAACAAAGGATGGAGTCTCTGTAGATACACACAAAATTGAGGCGATTGTGAATTGGCCAACTCCTACCAATGTGACTGAGGTGCGTAGTTTTATGGGGTTAGCCGGATATTACAGGAGGTTTGTTCAAGATTTTTCCAAAATTGCTGTGCCACTTACACAATTGACCCAAAAGGGAGTTGCGTTTGAATGGTCAGAAAAGCGGGAATCTGCCTTCCAGGAATTGAAAATAAAGTTGACTACAGCGCCAGGTCGGGCCTTACCATCCGGTACTGAGGGGTTTGTAATCTATAGTGATGCTTCGCATAAAGGGCTTGGTTGTGTACTTATGCAAAATGAAAGAGTTATCGCTTATGCCTCTCTACAGCTGAAACCCCATGAAAAGAATTATCCCACCCACGATCTTGAGCTAGCAGCAGTGGTTTTTGCTTTAAAAATATGGCGACATTATCTGTATGGCACTACATGCGAAGTTTATACTGATCACAAAAGTCTCAAGTACCTTTTTACTCAAAAAGAATTGAGTATGCGGCAGCGACGCTGGTTAGAGCTGATTAAAGACTGTGATTTACAGATTCACTACCACCCTGGTAAAGCCAACACAGTTGCAGATGCGTGTAGACGCGCCCGCGTGGGGGCCGGCGCTACAGTTCGGACTCAATTTGTGTCACAGTTCTTAATCTGAAGCAAAGAGTCCAAATCCGGCAAATCGTTTTGAGAAACAGATTTTTGAAAAGAAGTGCCAAACATGGACTGCTTTGCCAGATACAGAGTCGCCACCTAAATATTTTTTTAAAATGGGAGAATTTAGGAAACCCTGACTCGGTGCCAAAGGCCACGTGTCCGTCATCACCAAAGTTGCCTCAGCTCGGGAACTTGGGTACGATTGGGGAAGGTCAGCTATGAGCACCCCCTCTCGCCCGATCCGAAGATCGGCCTCTACTAACCATGATATCCTATTTTGAAGACGTTATGTGTTATTAATCCGGTTATTAGTCTAGAATTACTATGTAATGCGCACAGCAAACAAATATAGACCAAATCGCCTAAATTGGAACAAAACATTTCATGCTTGTTTTGAAAATGGTTTGCTACTTGCAAGTAGGCTGAAATGCAGGTTTTGCCGCCCTCAAGTGGGCTTAAAACTCACAGTTTTAATGCATTATTCTAATTTAGGTAATTCGACCTCTACCCACACGCATTTAAGCAGTTATATCACATAAGTAGCTAGCCTCATGGTAATCATGCTGTTATGGCAACACTCACACGCATGCGGTATGCTAAAGCATAAATACTTACAACGTACTCCGTGCCAAAACAATAAACTAGTTAGCAAACATGCATGGTCCTAGTTCTCGGCTAATCTACAATGACATGTGAAATGCTACAACTAACACGTATTCAATTTGGAATTGAAACACAATGCAGTTAGCATGATGTGCCGAGCCTGGTGCATGCAAGACAAATGTATGAATGCACGCATGCATAGCATAAGGTATGCTAATTTTAAATATGCCCTAGTCTACCATCATAAGCAGGTAAATAAAAGGGAAGAAAGACGTGGGGTTGGAAGACATACACACACTCACGCACACTTATTACACAATTGCCCTCACTCGGAGGGTCCAAATAAATATTACAGTCCGAATAATAAACAAATAAATTATTACAGAATTTCTAATTTACTTAACAGAATGAATGTAAAAAGAAAGGTAGCCACGGCCCCTGCCTCGGGATGCGCGAATGATACATGCTCGAACCCGTCTTGTCCGGAAAGCCCGTACCATACCATTACTGCCTCTGTTTTCACTGCCTTGCTTCTCTGAAAAATTCGAAAGTTCTGGGACAGATTCCTTGCACATTACAGAATACCATCGGCTGGAGGAAATTCCCACCGGCAATGTATAATTTCCATCGGCTGCTGATGGAGTTATCGGCCATTCACCAATGGCTGGTCGGCACTGAATTCTGCCGGTCGGCAGAAACTTCTTGCAGAAGACAGTTTTGACAGCAACAGAGGACAGACATCATATGGCATGGGATTTCAGGCACATGTAAGCATGGTCATGTTCCCCATCATGTATTGAACTCAGGGAAGCATGGCCCTCGATTCTCGAGCCATCAATTGTGCATGATAGCCCAAGAGATCAAGCTTGCCATTTGATGTAAAAATGCATGCAACACACAAACGAGGATCGAGACCCTATCATGTCGAAGTCAAAGGCCCCGGTGACCGAGAGTTAAGACACGTTGCATCACTTATAGTATGAATGCTCCTTAACCCTCACACTTGGTTTGACACCGCAAACCAAGTAATGCAATGCATGTTATGCAAACATGACTCAAAAATACAACATGAGATCAAGATGCAAGGCATGCCAAATGCCATGCAACTACTATGGCAAGTATGCAATGCTAGGCATGCAAGATGCAAATGCAATGCCAACATGGACGATTTAAGCAATAGGATCATCAAGTTACAACACTAAATGAAGCAATCATTCAACAAACATGAGACAAGCATGCAATGGTGGATTTAAACCCTAAAGGGGCAGACCTCAATCCAGCCCAAAACAGTGGCCAAAAGTGCCCAAAATGATGGACAAACACTCATGCCAACGTGCAAGCCAATGGACCTAAGGCTAAGGCACAAAAAGGGGGCACTTTACTTCCACCAATATGACCATTCATGGGATGAATTAGACAAGTAAAAACAGAATTTTAGCATGCATAAATGGACTCCAAAACTCACTAATATGGCAGCTTAAGTGGCTCCAATGAGATGCATGCACCAAAACTCATTTCTAGGCATAAAAGGGCACACCCTCAAAGCATGAAAGAGGTCACATATGCAAACATACAAACATGATTTATGGACTGAAATACGATCCTAAAATGATGCCAAATCATGAGGATGGTCTAAGCTACGCATGCTAGAGGCCTATATACTCAAGGCTTACAAGCCAAAACACAAAGAGAGGACACCAAACATGGCAAGCATGACTAAAACAAATGGCCAACAGGTCTTAAACATGGTAAATTAATGCCAATTCCTTCATGAAATTAAGCTAATACATGCAAGAACCATGACCTAAACACAAGATGTATTTCTAGGCCAAATAGAGGAATGTAAAGCAAGTGTGTTAAGCATGCAAAATGGCACAAATCCGACCAAAAACAGAGATAACATGTGACCTAGAGACACCAAAAAAACTCTGAAATAGGGCCAAAATTAGTCAAGCATGCATGTTGCCCTTTAAGCCAAAAGCAAGGAAATGAGGCAATGAAGGGAGAGGGGTGTCCCTCCCCTATACAAGACTTCAAACCACCTTCCTCACCACTGAAAATCCACTGGTTTTCAGTGGTGAGAAGACCAAAACACTCAAGCAAACAAGGCCTCACAAAGGAAGCACCAAAAGGGCCAAATAAGGTCTAAGAGGGTGAGTTTGAACTCAAATCACA